TTTCTGGCTCCCAGGTGTCTTTTATACAGGTAACGAGCTGCGATTAGGAGCACACTCTTAAAGGGAGTGCTCCTAATCTCAGCTTGTTACCTGTATAAAAGACACCTGTCCACAGAAGCAATCAATCAATCAGATTCCAAACTCTTCACATGGCCTTTTGGCTCCATGCAAGATCTCACCTCGTGGAGTTGCAATGATCATGAGAACGGTGAGGAATCAGCCCAGAACTACACGGGAGGATCTTGTCAATGATTTCAAGGCAGCTGGGACCATAGTCACCAAGAAAACAATTGGTAACACACTACGCCGTGAAGGACTGAAATCCTGCAGCACCCGCAAGGTCCCCCTGCTCAAGAAAGCACATATACATGCCCGTCTGAAGTTTGCCAATGAAAATCTGAATGATTCAGAGGACAACTGGGTGAAAGTGTTGTGGTCAGATGAGACCAAAATGGAGCTCTTTGGCATCAACTCAACTCGCCGTGTTTGGAGGAGGAGGAATGCTGCCTATGACCCCAAGAACACCATCCCCACCGTCAAACATGGAGGTGGAAACATTATGCTTTGGGGGTGTTTTTCTGCTCAGGGGACAGGACAACTTCACCGCATCAAAGGGACGATGGACGGGGCCATGTACCATCAAATCTTGGGTGAGAACCTCCTTCCCTCAGCCAGGGCATTGAAAATTGGTCGTGGATGGGTATTCCAGCATGACAATGACCCAAAACACACGGCCAAGGCAACAAAGGAGTCGCTCAAGAAGAAGCACATCAAGGTCCTGGAGTGGCCTAGCCAGTCTCCAGACCTTAATCCCATAGAAAATCTGTGGAGGGAGCTGAAGGTTCGAGTTGCCAAACGTCAGCCTGGAAACCTTTATGACTTGGAGAAGATCTGCAAAGAGGAGTGGGACAAAATCCCTCCTGAGATGTGTGCAAACCTGGTGGCCAACTACAAGAAGCGTCTGACCTCTGTGATTGCCAACAAGGGTTTTGCCACCAAGTACTAAGTCATGTTTTGCAGATGGGTCCAATACTTATTTCCCTCATTAAAATGCAAATCAATTTATAACATTTTTGACATGCGTTTTTCTGGATTTTGTCGTTATTCTGTCTCTCACTGTTCCAATAAACCTACCATTAAAATTATAGACTGATCATTTCTTTGTAAGTGGGCAAACGTACAAAATTAGCAGGGGATAAAATGCGTTTTTTTCCCTCACTGTATATGGACAGCTGCTCTTCTAATTCCCAATTACCCGGCAATGAGACGTTTTACATATGAAAGACGCGTTAAGCTAATTCGATGTGAAGGCAGATGATGACGGGGATGATGATATTATATGTCAGTTATATTGCTAAATAACCTAATGCCATCGTTACAATGAGCTGGTTCGCCCTGCGTCGATAGTTCTATCACATCACGTTAAAAGGTCTTCATCGAGGTGTATAAAACAAATCATTTGCTAATTCTCCCTGCAAATAGTATGCTGCACGTGCACTGCCATTGTGTCAATCCATTCGTGGATGAACCAATCAGAATGGAAGGAGGGCAATTTTAAGAACTGTTGGGACAAAGTACCTCATGGAATATAATCCACTTATTCAATATATCCTCAATTATCAACACCATGTTACATTACTTATGTTTTATTTAATGTAATCTTATCGACATTACTTAACATTTTAAACATCTATTATCGACAGCATATTCAATCATTTTCGAGAGTTAAAAATACTGCATGTTGCACATGTTAAAATAACTTATTAATGATCTGTTTGAATTTTGGCAATATACAAAATTTACACGTTTGACAATTGAGGACACATCAAATCCAGAGCTCTTGAAACATATGCTGCTTTAAAATTTCGTGCATTTTTCCTCTGCTTGCGATCTTCCACTGCTGAATTGACTATAAAACACACAGCAATTTTATATGTGCGCATATATTCAATTCTGGTTGGATAGTGTGAGATGCATTCGTCTGGTGTGGCGTGCTTAGGCTACGGGCAGTTAGCCAGGCTCTGTCAGAGGCAGAGGCCGGAGATTGCAGTCAACCAAGCAGGCCACTCTAATGCAAGGTAACAATTCAGGAAAACAGGATTTAGAGGTAGGCCTAAATTATTACCACCAGCATTCAATAATGAAGTAATCGAAAGCAAACAACTGTCATATTTTCCTCACAAAAGGAACGTTATTTTCAACATTCATATGGCCGAATGCGTGTCCTTTTAAGGATTAAACTTAGCATGCACACTGAGGCTTCTAACTAAGACAGGTGTCCTGATATGTGGGTGGTAGGTAGGTGGGTCTGTGGCTGTAGACAATATAACAATAGAGTTATTGTTGGAGTGGAAGGGAGTTCAGGCTGTTGGGAGGTCAGGCTGCAGGCAGCCAGGCAAACTCGAGGCATAGATTATTTTTTAATAATAGCACCATGCGGTACCATTATTAAGTTTTACCTTTCTCCCAGGGCAATGTACTCCTTGTTTTGTCCAAATTGGAAGATGGAAACGGTATTCTAAAGCCACTCATCGAATTTAAAGCACTCGTGAATTTCAAGTATATGAAAGTTATGTTTCTCATCTAATACCAATCTTGTAAACGATGCTTTCAATCGGACGGAAACTTCTTTGTCAGTGGTTACGGGTCACTGAGTGTTGAGGTTTGGTTGTATATAATGATTACAAATGAAGTGGCGGCTACAGCATTAGAATTGAATAAAGATCCACTTTGGCTTTTTCTTCTCCGTCTCGAGATACCATTGTGGTTCAACAAAGCATGCAGAGCACTTTGTCCCGCATTAGCATTCTGTAAAAGTTATTTTTGGTTGAATGATTTATTTGAAAAAAAGGTCAGAGCATCCCCAGTGAAGCCAATTCAGTACCATTACCATATCCCACACGCCATTTGAAAATTATCTCCCAATGCATGAATGTCAGCGGGTACACAGTCCCTCGGTTAACAGTGACATAATCGGTTAACGTTTTTTTTTGGAAACGTTTCGCCTCCCACATGACCCCCCCATGGTTTCGACTGATGTTAACATATTAATTAACGGCACGTTTACGTGATGCGCACGGGCGCCAATTTCGGCAAATCCGTGCGCTCGAACACGGGGCTGAGCCACGTCCTCAGCCAATCAGCGACGCTCGTTTATGAGCGTTTTGACCTCAACTGGCTTTGCTTACATTATTACGTTTTCTGTTTTTGGCATTGGAAAACAGCTATCTTGCAGACTCAGTGATTTTGACTTGTTTTTCAACTTATAAGTGAATTCGACGAACAGTTATTTCGGTTAACAGTTTTTGTGGAAGGGATTTCAAACGTTAACTGAGGGACTACTGTACCTGGAATAAATCTGTAGACATTTCAGATTCTTTGACGTGTTTCCGTACCTCGTGTTGCTTGGTGCGACGTCGGGACAATTCTCTCTGTGTGCTGGGAGCTTTTTCAGTAACTTGGTTCCAAGCAAAACGCTATGAAGCACATAGCACAACCGCCAAAACCCACACAGTATTGTTTAAAACTATTATTTAAAAAGACAAGTTGTTGATTCAGACGTCAGTCCTTTACTGTGCATACCAGTCCATTTGAACTTAAGCAACTTAACTACAGAAACTTAACTTGGTTCCAAGCAACGCGCTCGCTCTATCTCCAGCACAACTCCCAAAACCCACATTCCAGTGTTGTTTACAATTGTTCCTTAAAATTGTAAGTAGTATACGTAGCGTATTCTCATGTCCATTATTTACTGTGTATACAAGTCCAATTGAACTCAAGGAGCTTCTTGCACAATGCGCTTCCGGACAAGCGAGTGAAACGTTATATTTTTTTGCTGAAACGAAATGTGTGGTCACATGACACGCACTCTAACTTGAAGTTGTAAATGTAAACAGTGGCTTTGATTTCCAGAGGCCTTTCGACGTCTTGGGGAGCGGAGGTCAGGGAGATGAAATGTCATGAATATTAAATGCCGAGGTGGCCAGGTAACAAGAGGTCAGAGCGCATCGATCCCCGTTTTGAAATCCACGCAGGCATCTGTGATTAAACCAGACTCGGTTATAATGGGTTCATGGTCTCAGCCAGGTTCACCGGTGATTATAGTAAAAAAAAGATTAAGTCTAGTTCTGCATTTAATGTGGCCAAATTCCCCGCTCTAAAAATGTAAACATTTTCAAACATTTGCTTTGTCATGCGTCAAACGTTAATCTGACTGGCGAAGCAGATGGGAATGTGCTGCCCCCTGCCTTGTTGGCAATAAGTCACTTGAAGAGATCTCTGGTACCTCTGTGATATCCGCTTCTGTGGACCGTTCTCGTCTCATCGCATGAATCTGGTACCTCAAGAAAAAATTGTGGTAAAAGGTAGTAAGATGTACTGTGTATATATATCAATCTATTTTGTTTGAGGCTGTTGTTTTAAATAACTTATTTTATATATATATAGATTTTCCACTTAAGGTTGAAAGCATTTAACCATTTTCTGTGTTGGTCTGTAACAAGGGCGGGTGGGGTGACACAAAAGCTCTTGTAAAGATGATCCAATATCAACAGAACTTTAATGTGAAGTTGCGTTGCAATTCAGGAAATTACCCGATTGAAAAATGGCCAAATTTATCACAGGGTTGCCCAAAACTTGTTGCTGAAAACCAGCACTAAAATAACTCTTTGCAAATATGCAAACACTTTATTTTAATACTCTTTGGTTCTTTCGGTAAAGTCACGTATATAGAAAAATAAAACAAAATAAAGAATAATATATCACGACGTGTCGATCGCAGCACAAGCGGTCGTCCTCGGGCGGAAAAAATAATCCAGCAGTGGAACTGCTGAACTGGCTACCCAACCAGCATGTGTGCTGCTAATTAAATGCTTCTTCTGAAGGTGTATGTTGATCTTCTTTCGCACCGTACGTAGCCAACCGCGAGTTGTAAAGTGTTTAATGATCCGTGCGTGTGCACGATGTTTCCTAACTTTTTTTTGATTGGTTTTTACCCACAGGTGGAAGACATGCTTGAGCAAGCTGCAGCTGAGCGATCGGGACACAGCAAACAGCCAGACCGGCCTCTGATACGTCTGAGGGTAAGCCTGTAGCCACTACAAGTTTTCATCACTCGTTATCATCATTGTCGTCGTCATCATGTGAGGATACCAGCTGTGGGAGAAAACCAAAGAACCCAGAGGGAAAAGCCTCCTGTAGGACGTGGATAGAACATATAGACGGCACACAGAGAAGCACTCAAGTCACAGATGGAAGCCCGGTTATTCTTACTGTGAGGCACAGGTGAGGCGTTGTGTCTACATGCCCCCAGCCCATAGACTTCACCATCATCATCGGCTATGTCACTTTCCTTGGCAGCATCATAATCATAAAATGTTTGTAAATTAAAGCAATGCGCCATACTTGAGTAAAGAGTCGCAGTGAGTTCCTGCTCCAATGAGCATTGAAGCTGGGCTCATCTGTTATTTCCAGCCTTGAACCAGTCGTGGAAATTCAACATTCCTCCGATTACCTCGGCTGGCTGCGTACGGTGCGAAAGAAGTTCAACATACGTACATACATACATGTCTAATAGGACAACCACTTTTTATACTTCCCCACAAAAGTGGTACCTGTTTAACTGACCCCCCCCCCCCCCAGGGGGATGACGCGCTGAGTTTAACCCCCAACCAGGATTTTAACTCCCAACCTTCAGATCCGCGAGCCGCTCGCTCTGCCTGCTGAGCCACCCGTGCATAGGAGCTGTCTTCGTCATTCCGTTATGAACCGATATACTGGCACCTCACCTCCCCCTGTTTGCTTGGCTGCTCCTCACAGCGCCACCACTGACAGTGTCATAACTTGCGTTTCAAAATCGGGAAGAACAGTTCTTCCAAAGAATTACCTTCTGAAGTGAAGCATTGACTTAATAATAATACTTAGATTTTATGCTAATTGCATCCCATTATTATTAGCGTTTGCACTATAGCATCCCATAAGGCTGTAAATTAATTTTATATATCAGGACCAAATCCCATATAGAGCCACTACCAAGCAAATCAAAACCCGACGATGCGAAGTGTCACTCAAAAAAATGAAGAAACAAAATTAACAAATGCGTCAAAATAAAGGGGCACAAACAAACAACAACAACAAAGTTATCGCAACAAGGAATTTGCACTTTGGGTGAAAACAAATCCGTCGGCGATAGAGGATGGTGTAACCACCTGTCCAGCTTTCATGTTGTCACACATCAATATTCTCATCACATCTTTCTATCATGTGACATTGTCCTTCTGTTGTGTTTCCATTTTAAGTTGTTAACAGTTGAAACTCCACGCGCATCGATTTTCTCTCCATTGCCTTTGATTAATGAATGGGCATAGAATGCTAAGTGTCCCTGTAATGTGCTGCTCCTCACTAGGCCATATGTCGATTTACTTTTTTTATCTTTGGCCTATTGAGCCTTTCTGGGCAAGTTGCCAAGTTAACTGCGGTGAGAGCCATTCGCTGAAGAGATATGCAAACGTGTGTAATCTTTACTTGAAGAATATAAAATTGATTAAGTAGATTTTTCGCTATTTTCACTTTCCCTCCAGCTATCAACGTCTTTCACGGTGCCCTTTCTGTTTGCCTGCAAGAGAGATTTTAATCGAGCCGTTCTCGATTTGCTTTATTTTTTTAAAAGCGTTTACCATGAGCGGATTGTCATTTCATGTCATCTTCTCTGTTTTTTGTAATCTCCACGTATCTGATTAATTTTGAATGTCATACTTTTGTTCAATTTTCTTCACGTGCGCACAACACTTGAGTCAAAGAGTCACGAGTGATGTCCTGTTCTCCTGAACGTCGAGGAGGTGGTCATCTGCTTACAGTGCTGAGTCAGCGGGAGAAATGCCCCATTCCTCAGGGAGTGAGTCCTGTATCCATAGGACAACCTGATAACCAGAAATCGAATTCTCAACCTACTGATTGCGTGCCACTCGCTCTTCCTGGCCGGTCATTTTGGCCACGCCTGGGATGTCAGGTTGTTTACCCATACTTCACCACGCCGGTCAATGCGAGTTGGTTGGCAGGAAGAGTTCAGATATAATTCGCCGCTGACGTTAGCCCATTGGGGGGACTTGAACTCAGGGAGTAATGATTGCTGTGTATAATAATCCCAATTGAGTTAATTTACGGTATCAAAATTGAACTCAGACGCACGGCAAGCAATGGCCTACTCTCTTGCAAATGACGTTACGGGCCCTTTAGTGTTCTTTGTGAAGCAGCCAGCGTGTAGTATTTATACGGTTTAATGCACCGGCAGTTATAATGAGGGCGGCCACTGGATTCGAACCGTGAACCTCTGTGTCAAATGTCGAATGCGCTACCGCTGGGCCATGTCACTGCCTACAAGGTGCTGATGAAGGCATTGAGGTAATGTTTGTCCTTGCACCCTATTCTGTTGTTTGCAGATTGACTACAGCGGAGGTTTTGAGCCATTCAACACTCTGCGCTTCAGCCAGAAGTTTGTGGAACATGTTGGGAACCCGAAGGACATCATTCACTTCTTCAGACAGAGGGAGATGAAGGCCAGAACAGGTTTGCTCGCAATCACGTATCCATTATGATCATTCTGTCACCTTCACGGCAACAACATTTCGCTGTGGCGAGATGTTAACTCCCTCTCCTCACATGCAGGAGGTTGTGGGTTCCATCCCAACGCTGACGCCTGTATATTCGGAGTTTTCATGTTCTCCCCGTGGTCGCGGGGATTTTTCTCCGGATCCTCCACTTTTATGCCTCCACATTTAGAATCGATGTGCGTTTAGAGTATTTAGCTGCCGCTATACATTTCCACGCGATAAGCCGCTTCGTTCAGCTATAATTTGTGACCAGGTCACTTCTGAAAAAGAGCTATATGGCTTGGCAAAATAAAAAATAGTTTAGTTTAAGTTATAGAGCTTCGACATGCAAGCCCGACGGACTTTATAGAAATTAATTAAATAAAAATACGTTACATAGATATAGATAAGTTGGTGGGAGGTGGCGGGGAGGGGGAGGGGGGAAGTAAGGACAGGGAAGTGCGGGACAGAGGTAGAGAGAGGTAGAGAGAGGTAGAGAGAGGCAGAGAGAGGTAGAGAGAGGGAGAAAGAGGGAGAGAGCGGTAGAGAGAGGGAGAGAGAGGTAGAGAGAGGTAGAGAGAGGTAGAGAGAGGTAGAGAGAGGTAGAGAGAGGTAGAGAGAGGTAGAGAGCGGTAGAGAGAGGGAGAGAGAACAACGCCGTGGCACGTCGTGGCACCAAGCGACCGGGGCCCAGCACCACCAACAGTGTCGACCACAACGGACCCCAGGGGCAGCACCATGGGCAGCCAGGGGCAGCACCATGGCCAGCCAGGGGCAGCACCATGGGTTCCAGTGTATCCTCATTTGCATTTCCTTGGGTTTTCTTTCTCAGTCTTTGAAATGGAAGTAACATTGGTCCGATTTTGTTCAAATGAACACATTCAGCCATACAGCTAAAAAAGTTAATTTAGATTGCGTTTATTTAGCTCACTCTTTTTACAATATTAACTTTGTACGTATGTATGTTTAACTTCTTTCGCATAGTACGTAGCCAACCGTGTTAATTGGAGATCCATCAAACATTTCACACCCTTCATCACCATGTTCATCAAAGTATTTAATTTCTTGTTGAATTATATAAAGCGCCGCAGAAAAATTCAAATTTTCTTACTTTCAAGTTTTATGTGCCTCCTGGTTTTATTCATTAAACTGAAACACCGTAAGTTCAGAGACAATCCCGTCCTCGTAGTGTAGAGAGCATAAATGCACAGAGGATCCTGAGCAGCCTGTGAATACGAACGGATTAGAATGAGATTCTCGGCTGTGGACATGAACAACAAAAGTAATACATTGAGAGGGTGTATACGTATTGAGTGGCACCGTATTATACAGTATACATTTTGCATCCTAAACTCTTAATCCACATTTCTTGTTCGCCATACAAACCTGAGAATCCGTGATTCTTGCCGTGTTACACTGATCCCAATGAATCTCGGATTTACCAGATCAAGGACAATGCGAAGTGTTACTTGCGAAAGCAGTGGAAGCATTTGCATGACCGTGCCAATGGCTTGTACAACAACAACAACAATAGCCGCCATTCGCCACTAAGTGACGGTGACATCTCCATGGCGTCTGTGCCAGGCCAGGTGCACTTTGAGGCCACGTGACGTGTCAAAGGCTCGCTGACAGGAGGTTAAGGGACAGACCCAGGTGCCATGGGTTTACTGACTCAGATGACTGGCAGATGCACGAGTTGTGCCCCCTACTGTGCCAACTTACTGCGGTTTAGCCACCCGGCGCTCCGCTCGCTGTTGTGATCCTCGCTCCTCTGATATCCGTTGTTGTTGGAGGGCGACTGCTTACCAACTGCCCAGTAGCATCCTTCACGAGTCTTCTCGCCAGACGCCGATCTTGACACCGCTGGTACCAATCTTTGGTAATCAGCGCAGATTGCCCCAGACCCTAAACGTGGAGTGCTCCTCTAAAATAAGAGTGGACGGTCTCGCCTACTTCACATCTCTTCAGAGACATAGATGGAGTGAAAGAGTAATTGCACCTCTCTGAAGAAGTGGAACAATTAGCCATAGGCATTTTAGGGTTACTGCTTGTCCCCCCCCACCCGTTGCGTTCAATTAATGCCGCAAAATAAATGGTGGCAAGTCTCCTGTTCCCAGTGCTGCCCGATAGACTCCATGACTTTGCAAATCTAAATGGCAGTGATCTTCATCATTTTGTCCTGATGGTATTACTCCTCTATATCATCACCCCCATGCTATCGGTACATTGGTCGCCTTTTGTAGTTCTCTGCTTTTACAGGATGGCATGCGGATTGCCACACAAATAGGAAGGAATTTACGTATGGAGATTGAGGAAATTAGCTAAACATTTAATTTCCACCACAACTTTCCACCGACACGCCATTCGGCCTCGTGATTTTTAATTGCCGTAATGGGACCGACAAACCACAGTCTTAACATCTCGTCAAAAATAACATTTTATATTTCTATATCACACGATCATGAGAGGTTGCTGTGAATTTGGCCTTCATCCAGCAGTGGATTGACCATGGATGATTATTATGATAGCTATATTAGTGCTTTTAATGCTAGTGCATCACTGATTGCTTGCTGCTGCCGGAAGCAGCATCACCGAATAATTTGTATGGAAATCGTGATTGGGCTCGGGGATTTATTTCATCCTCTGCAAGACAATTATAATGGCAGTCAAATTCCTATGTATTGAGATGGTAATGGAGCCCAGGAATCCACTGCCAAGGGGTGGTTGTGCCTTGTTTGTCCTCAACCAGAATACATTTTCCCACAGTGTATTGTGCCAGCAACATTTTATAATTCATCTTTTAATATTGATTCGTTTATTCAGTCATGATTTTCGTTATTAAATGGGGTTGTCTGTTACTCAATAGCTACTGTTATGTAACTATTCATATGCCCATTCACAAACTGGTCATGAAAAAGCATGACATTTTTTAAAATTCTCATTAGACCCCGTGTCGTATTAATTAGACTCCAATTATTATTAACTCTCTCTCTCTCGTCTCTCTGTATATGTGCTATGAATAAGGGCCATTGCCTGCTATGTTGCTGATTTATATAGTTAAGGCCACAGTGTTGTTTACAAATGCGTAAGTTTTTTTGTTTCCATTATTTGTGCTTGTGCACCACTGCCAGCGCGGAAGCTACGGCAAATAAAATGTGTCATTCTCCCGTATCTTACATTGAGCCGACCTAACGATGTTCGCCCACAACACAGATAGGCTCATCATCCACGTACTCGCTGGTGACACACTTTTAACTCTCTTGGGGTCCAGTGAGATCAGGGATGCAGGGGAACTATCGCCTATAGGTATGACAGTGAAAGCACGATCATCATCATCATCATCTGACAAGCGTAGGCGACGAAGGCCCGTTGGTGTCAACCAGAGTGTGTGTGTCAATCACGTGTCAGGACCAATCTTACCAACGAACCCACAAGTCCCGTGGATGGCCCAACGAATGGTGCCAAAGCGCCGTGCATTCAATCGAACGTACTTTTTATTATTATTGTTATTCAAGAACCCAGTGCATTCAATCGAACGTACTTTTTATTATTATTGTTATTCAAGACCGACTGGGGCATCCGGGCTCACTGCCCTACCGCACTAGGGGTAACGATCGGGATCGGTACCAGACGCGCATTTCTAACGCTTGACTTTTCGAGTTAGCCTCGGCCACGTTTTTCAATGCCCCCGATTGGACACGACCCCAGTGTGTTCGAGAGGGCAGAGAGACACGGTTGAATCTTAGTCAGAGTTCTATTCCATAGGAGTTCTATGGTGTATCGAACTTGTATACATTATCTCTCTCACCTCTCTGTGCATGTGTACTATGAATAAGTGCCATTGCCCATAACGTCACCTGTTACATATTTATCCTTCTCAGGCCATGGTGTTATTGACGAATGTATTGAATTTTCTTAAATATATAGAGAGATATATAAATTGGTAAAGCAGTGGTGCGGAAGTCATCCCATATGTTTGCGATGCATTCTTGTCTCAATACCCTGGCCTTAGCAAAAATGCTTCCTTTGGGAGGGCCTGTGTGGGGGAGGCCTGTCCTCTTCCTCTGTGTCACCATCTGTGGTGCTTTTGCTAATTTATATTATAAGGAAGGTTCCTGCAAATGGCAGAACTGGCCTGAAAATTTGTTTTTTTTTTCAATGCACGAAGGTAGAAAAACCTAATGTTTCTTCGGTCCAAATGATGTGCGATGGCTCTTTCCTTGAGATGCAGCTCATTACCGGGCAATCACACCACGCGTTCCCCCCCCCCCCCCCCATGCTGAGCAGAACATTAACGGCTGATGTGTCCCCGCTAATGTTTATCGAATCGGAATTGATCGAGGCCTCTTAAAAGTCATGATTAGGGCATTGACCAAGTTTCCCCTCCCCGGCCCTCTTTGCAGCGGATTTACGCACAGGCCAAGCAAGTGTCAGTATGAGAGGTGTCACTATTGACTCCTGTCCCTGCTCAGCGATTTAATTAATTTTCTCAAATCGGGGTCACGACTGTTAGTGGTAAAGGTGCAGTCCTGCAGTGTTATCCATCTGTGCTACCGCTGGCCGATGGGACTCCACTGGAGGGTGCTCCACAAGGTGTTTTTGGCCTTCTCTTCCTTTTTGGTGTGATAGTCTGGAACAGGTGGACGTACCCACACTTTACCCCACCGCGTGCGATCCCACGATGCTGGGTGGGCAGAGGCTGGTGGGAGCGGGGATTTAAGTAACTTGCCCAACCGTTTCAACTGCCGCATCGTCGCCAGATCGAATTGACCTGGCGACCTGGATTGAAGGTCCAGTGTGCCAACCTTTACACCGTGGCAGCGTCTGTGATGATTGTAGTGGCCACTAATGGTCGCAGGGTTCACATGAACCCATTACGAGCAACATAAATAATATAATGCGGATTCTGTCCGCGATGAAGTCGTTTGGGTTTGATCGTGGAAATGTATTATGTATGTATGTTGAACTTGTTTCGCACCATACGTAGCCAACCATGCTAATCAGAGGTGCGGGGGAAGGACAAGAAAATAAAAACGAAGCAGTTGTAAAGAAATGAAATGTCATTTTAGATTTAAAAGTGCAGTGGCTTTATAATATCGGAAGGAAGAGCGCTCCAGATGGCCGCAGAAGCGCATCTGAAAGTGCGTGATGCGGTGATCGTGTCGTACGCCAACCTCCACCCGACACAGCCAATCAGTAAGGTTTGTCACGTGAACAGAACGTGACAATTAGTTACTACTTCGGTACCACCAGTTGTGTGATAGGGAGAAAACCCACAACAGTATTTGCAACCAACATTTCGCTGGTGATTACAACCATGGATTCTGTTGCACGTGTGATTTACAAACGCGTGTGTCATGAGCTTAACCGTCGATGAGATTTGACAATTCAACGCATTGTGAGACCCCTGGTCCATACAATTGCGACATGAGCTTGTGCCTGAGATGGATCACAGCAGCACAGGATTGGTGTCCTTGCTTTTTGGCTGCAAGTGGTGGCTTAGTGGTTTGTGCTGCGTGCTGTGGTCTTGGTGACCCCTGCGTTCAGTTCACTTTGCAATGCGTAACATTGGTGACGGTGCTCTTCGATCTTCTACGTACGTCTCTAAAATAGAGTTCTGTTCATTCTTTCGGTCTCATTGGCCAGGGGGAGACCGATGTAGCCATGGAGCACGCTCGCCACATAAAGAGCCACGCGTGTCCCCTTGTTCCTGCGGCGACGCTTCGTCCTCCATCCAAATTGAGCACTTTTCGGCATCTCGGCGTCGCTGTCAGGTGTAAACGGGTCACGCTGGCCGCACAATCCACTCGCGTGTTCTGTTCCAGTCTTCATTTATAAACGGCGCGCAATTAACCTTGGCACAGTGTAGTAAACATGCGGTTGTGCAGTGTCAAAAAACTAAAAAAGGAAAAGGTTTTTCTAGACTCCAGAGAATTATAAGCGAAGTAAAGAGCATTTTAGAAGTAATTGCAGCCAGTTGCTGCCGATGCCAACTCACCTCGCATATAGCCTCCGTTTGCTCGATGCCGCAGCTGTTGCAGTCACAATTCAGTGTCAAAGGCCTGATCTGAAATTATCGAACAATCTCGGTTTGGTTTAGGCCTTACCTTTGGTCGCTTGTCTCTGGATATCCACTACAATTTTTATTTTTGCAGCCACTTGTGGCCTACTGATTGATGCCTACGGCTTGTAAACGATCCGCAAATAGCATTTATCCTTCGCTGCAAAGATCGTAGACGCCCTAATCGAGTACTAGAGGGCACTGGCGGAGCCAGTTGGGGGGGTCATTGGAGTTTATTAGTGATAAATCGGCATTTTGCGACCCCCCACTGCCACTGTGTAGCATATTATTACGTTCCAGAGACTCTATGAGATGATAGGACAATAGTCTGAGTCCATAATTGGCAATAAGTAACGGCAAAGCAGTTATAAGTGACTCACAGAATTGTGCGCAGTTGCGTATACAGTGCACGACTTCCCTGAAGGCAAACCTTCAGCGAGCGCGATGACGATCACACACGGTTCGAATTCGACCCTCGATCGATGGCTGTGCCATCGCTGTACTCGCATCGAATAAAAAGCAAGGGACAAGTCCTTACTTACAAACAACTCATATCATTTTTCATTGCTGGAGGGGTTGCTCCCCCTACCTGAAAATCCTGTCTCCGCCATTGCTAGAGGGTAAGCTTTTGACCTGGAAAAAGGATTTTGTTTCCAAATGTATTGCACTCGGTCAGCAATGGAAGATGATGTATAATTATTATTTGCATGTTATTATTGGATGACGCGAACGATGTGTGGTTGCTGACATTTCACGTGGCCTTAACGTGCACATAGCCTGCAAACAGGGAGCGGTAGTGCAGCGGCTAGCGCGCTGCGCTACGAACGATGGCAACCGGGGTTCGATTCCCGCTCACGGTCAACACTGGTGACGATTATCTGAACCGGTCCAGCCTAAAATGAGTACCTGGTGCGGTGTGTAAACATCGCCACTAGGGAGACAAAGGCGGCCGGAGACATGGTCCCGCCCACCCACCCCCTCGTGTGCCGTGCCGGCGTTCATCGGTGCTACTCGTTAACAGCGCTTGCTGCTCCAGTCTGTTAAGGATATACGGGGATCTTTGTCTTTGCCCACCAATGATGCCAGCTTTTTATATTAGGCCCTCAATAAGGTAAAAGCTTCCCCACCACTGGTATGAATCGTAGAACTATACAGGCTGTTGCACGTAGAGTTGTGGTTCTTAACCTTTACTTGCAGCCTTGCACCCCTTTTGGTTCTCAATTGTACAAAAATGTACGATGTCAGTTAATACATAGGGTTTGATGAAACAAAGTAGTTGTACTTACGCGCCCGTGCCTAATTTGTGTTTCGGTGATATACCTTCTAAAAAAATTGGCTATGTCTCGCACCCCCAGAAAGTTCATCTCGCACGCCCAGGAGGTGCTTGCACACCAGGCTATGTAGAGCATAGACTACCAAAATTAGTGAGGAGAAGCATGTCTGAGGCTCGCATTGTCTGCTCCTGAAATTCCCCAAATCTGGTTTTAATCACACTTATGTGCGTTTTTTTTCCCTATGGAAGGTTACCATTGCGTTGAACGTGAAATTCCAGTTACTTATTTGCAGATTACTTGTACAAGTGGTCTCACCTGAGGATAAATGGCCAAGCAGTGAGCATTCAGCTGCCTCCCTCAAAACTATATATTGACCTCCCATAATGCAGTTCTACAATATCATACTTGACCACGCTGGTCAGTGCGAGTTAGTGAAGGACCGGTTTTGGATCTCGCCACTGACGTTATTTATGTATGCGTGTTGAATTTGTTCCGCACTATACGTAGCCAACCGTTCTAATCGGAGGTGTGGGGAAATCGGTTATAGCTTTGTCCTGGCAGTCGAACTGAGGTCGGTTGGGTTTATAGATGGGTGCCAACCGCTGCCTCGCCACTCCACCCGCACGTTCGAATTTCAGTCAATGCACGTGTCCCATTTTTTTTTGTTTCAAAGGTTTGTTTACTGCTCAGTATCTGGTAATGGAAAACCATTCATACTCGCATGCCAATTGAAAACTATCCACGTGTCTGCGTGCTTCAAATGTTCTGTGCGCTTCAAATGTGTTTCCAAAGCACCGTTACTGCAAAGTGCATCAGTCAATCCTTGTGCCCTTTCTGCTCTGAATAAAGGGCATTTCTTGAAAATGTTACCCGATCATATTTTATTTTCGGAGGCAGCATCGTAGCGTTTTGCACATTCAAACTCGGCTCATTAAAATGTTTCACCGTTCACGTACGTTGTGTCGCGCCAAGGAAATACCGGTATCACAACAGACAGGGATATGCACCCTGGTATTGTGACATTACACACCACACAACAGCAGACCACTCTCTGGGTCACATGCACCCGGCACTGAATCACATGTTGTACTTGAGCGAAAATGAGGCCTGTGCACCTGCGCTGACATCGGTTTTGCTGTTCTAACTTCTTCCAGGGGACGAGATGGATTTCGGCCAGGCATTCTCACACGTGGCCCATGGGGAGAACACGCTGCGGGTGGAAGACTTGGTTAAAGAGTATTTTAAATCCGCCGAAAAGGTAAATTATTCAGCAGCCAGGGGCGTCACACGAAAGCCTTGCAAGCCTCGGGTCATTGAAGGAAATTTGGTAAAAGGGTGCGGCCCTGAAAATTAATTGCTCATTTCCCTGCCTGCACGCCGGCCTGCTGCACTAGAGGGAGCTCTAGAGAGTTGCTTTAAGATTGCAATTGACCTACTTTTTCCACGCTGGCCAGTTGTCTTTGAAGAGGTGGGTGGATTCCGACAACACTCGATCACCTGCCGATCAATCAACTGTGGTGTTCCCATTCGTACTGCTTGGTGGACAGAGTTTTAGAAACCTACCGATCCTTTCCACGAGTTACACATTGCAAGTTCACTGCCACTATTACACCGCAGCAACATCCGCTTCCTGTGAAGTCATTCCACGTGGTTCTGTCCCTGATTTGAACTTCGTTCCCACCATACAGTAGGGCTGAACACTGCTGTTGAAAAGTCTCTACAGATGCCTGAATAATACAGCCTCTTAAACTCGCATTCAGTTGCCATGTGTGAAACTCTCAGCTTCTGTTTCTCTGAAAGTTTAATAAAAATATGATTGGCATTCCCTTTTCTTATTCTGTTCCTCCTTTTGCCTATCTTCCTCCTGCCTCCACACAGTCTCTTTTTGCAATCTCCCCACCAGTCACCTTGAATGACATCACGACTGTAATCTCCAAGTTTAACCCTTTCCCGTTATGATGACGTACATTGTTGTGAAATCCTACGTGTGATATTAGATAAGAGGTGTTTGGCTATTTTAATAACTTAATGTCATAAGCTGTGCGCGCCTTCAAACATCTATTTGAACTGACTCAATTATCTGAACCGAGAGGTTTAAACAAAAAATATTTGATCTTTTTCAGCACGTACATTTTTTTGTTTTAACAGAAAAAAAATCTGCCTCCAATTTATAGAATTTCTGCCACATTAAAAGCAGTGCGTGGGACGCAAGTGATTTGTCTCGTATTGATAATTGCCTCCAAAGTAAATCCGATTTCATGTCTCTAGTGTGTCGCTACATTCGTAGTTTTACACTTTAAGAGATAATCCTGACTCGCTTAATTATGCTTGGTAATGCGGGCGCTCAATGTGTGTACGGAACAGATACGTTCCAGGATAGTTGCCTGTCAAACGAAATTCCATACACCGAACCCTATTTTCCCACTGACCTCCATTGTACAACTGGAGATGCGTAATAAAATCACACTTTGGGATGCGGCAAACCTTCTTTAAAATACGTATGTCATGGAAAACATCTAAAATTTTCTGATAAAATAGTCATAAATAATAATATCTCAAAATGAGTCGCAAAAAAAAAAATACCTGACAGTACTTAACACGCAGGCTGTCACAACCAACTTGACGTTAATGTAGCCCTCGCGTGAGCTCTGTCCCACATTGGGAAAAGTCAGCTGCAGTGCAAAGAAGAAATGTTAATCCAACAAATCGTCCACGACGTGGACTTTACGGAAGCCAAAGAGTTTTAGTTTGTCAGCCTCGTTCTTTTCCATACATTTTCAACTTTTCTCAACGTAAGGTCGACCAGCGAAGACGCAGGAACATCTGCTCTGCGACAGTAAAATTCTGGGTTCCATTAAGGCACCATTTGTGATTTGGGCAATTTTTGTCCAGAGGGGAATGATTGCGCAGAGATGTACACTCGGACAAATGCACGTTTCACGAGCGCACAGTGTAACTCTGCTTATTCGATTTGATTTGTGGGGGCCACTGATCCTGTTATCCATGTCTATTTGCCTATATTACTCCTCTTATCCGCACAGGAACGTGCATATAAATATACTTAATTTTGACGACTTTGTCAGCACGTATGTGTCACTCCTCTTATCCAAACAAAGTCTCTGATGATAATCGTCACGTGGATAAGATTTGTTGACACCAATAACAGCAGTGTCGTATAATAATATTGATAATAATGTACAGGCCTTTCTGAGTCCACTGATGAATGAAGACCTCCCACATGCCGTATCGCTCATGGGTGTTGTTTGACCATTCTTCACCACACTGGTCAGTGCGGGTAGGTGACGGTGGGGGGGGGGAAGAGCCTAAGACTGATTTGGATTCCACTCACTGCCGATGTCAGCCCCTGGTCCGGGAATCGAACTCGGCTTGTCAGGATCGCGGAGCGGCGCACTAACCATGTTGTATATGCCGGGTATTGAAAATTTGATGAAAATAATACAATTTAAATGAAATTTGGAGAAAGGCGTAATTATCCGAAATTATGATAATTGATGTAATTATGCGCACACATTATGCTAATTAGATAGATAATCGAAATTAATTTATGCAACTGTAGGCGATTATGCTAATGTGGGAAGTTATGATAATTAGGCTTAGCTTCGTTGCCCAGGGTCGTATCATCAATCGGTATAATTCAATTATTCTCGCTTTAACATTTAATGATTATGTATGAGTGTGTTATGTCAGGTCTCCAAATTCAAATCTCATCTGCAGGATACAGTTCTTATTAAGATTATTATGCATGAACTTTGGAAGGAACCACTCAGACACTTCTGTGTTCAGCAATTTTAATTTCTAAACAAAACCTTAACACTCTAATATGCGAATTCTTATGCTTGAAATTGTCAACACAGTACTCCAGGAGATGTTCCCCTCATTGATCCATACATTTAACCCTCAATGATCACGTTTGTTAACTGGGTAACAGAACAATTGATTACTTCCTCAGAGTAACACGAACATATACGGCGATAGGAACCAAAAGTCCTTAAAAATTCACGCAACGATATTCATACGAAGGCAATAAAGAAACGTCCTGAAGGCAAAGTATACGGTAATTAATTCATGAGCAAGATTACGTAATTGCGAAATGTCTTGGAACAAGGGTGTGTGGCAGTATGCCTGCTTCAGCAAATACTCATCGATTGGCTAAGGCTTCATGGGTTCATGCATTTAACCCTCAATAATCACGTTTGTTTTTTTTGGTAACAGAACAAACGATTACTTCATCAGAGTAACACGAGCATATACGGCAAATCGGAATAAAAGTCCTTAAAAGTTAATGCAATGACATTCATACGGAGGCAATAAAGAAACATGTCCCGAAGGCAAAACGTATACGGCAATGAATCCATCGGCAAGATTACGTAATTTAACGAAATGTTGAAACCATGGTGTGCAGCAGTATTCCTGCTTCAGCAAATGCTCATTGATTGGCTGAGGTTCCAATCAATTCACGGGCAGATTCTGTGATCAAAAGAAGATTTCAACACAATATTCTCCCTGTGAGTGTGTGGATTCGTAACTTAGGCTTTTAAACGTTTAGTTTTCATCAATGAATTCGTTGATAATATTTATGCAAATCAAAAAGAAGCATAACTACTAAAATACTTCTAAACGGCCGTTTCCCGTAACCCAATGGCAACCGTTGTTCTTCGTTATCAGTTGATACTTGACGCACTTATCATGAGTCTTCTCATTAATGATTCGTGTATGTGTTGAGTGGGGATGGTATGGGTGGAGTGGGGATGTGTTCTTGATCAATTCTTTGCGTCAAGCAGACGCCAGGCGATGCGTTGTAATGTGTGGCAGTGTGCGTATCATACGGATAAGCTGGGCTCTCCTTCTCTCACACGGGCGGCCAGAGTTCGTTCCACAGCTGGTTGGAAGAGTTGACCACGACGCTCACCGTCGTGCGCGATGATCCCGTTGTCAGGTAGCACCCACAGCTCGTCCGCCGGCAGCTGACACCCTTGCTTGGTGGCGCTGGTGGCGCTGCGACGTGCTCTCTCCTGTTCCGGCTCTCTGGCGATGAACGATGCTTTCGTTCGTTGATGGCAGGCTTGGTCGACGTTTGGCGCTTTCCGCCCTCTCTCGCGGATGATGCTGGAATTCTCGTCAGCTTAGCTCGAACTGCAGTGGCTCTTGTAAGTCGATGCCCAGAGCGGAATGATTTTCGAGCGATACTTTTTCTGATGGCGCTGAATTCGCACGGCGTAGCATGTCGCTACTCAGTGAGCCTCGCCATCCTGGATGAGTTGCGGATTCTTCTTCTGCTGGTAAGCTTCTTCTGTGTCGGTGGCTAGCTGGTCATCTTCGGTAGCTGATGGTCGCCGTCTTCTGCCGCTGGTAGCTGTGTGTATGGCCCGTGTCTCTCTTTTTATGCCAAAATTAATTTCTCTGCTCTCCTTCTCACAATGGACCGGAACTTCCTTTGATCTCGCTCTGTGTTGTGGGGGGGGGTTGTACGTGTGTCCGTGTGTGTGTGTCATTATTAAGGGGAGTGATAGTGTAGCGGTTAGCGCGCTGCGCTATAAACCTGGCGACCCGGATTCGATTCCCGCTCACGGCCAACATCAGTGACGATTATCTGAACCGGTCCCGGGCCTCCCCTAGGTCGACTCAGCTTCAAATGAGTACCTGGTGCGGTGTGTAAACATCGCCACTGGGGAGACAAAGGCGGTCGGGCGTGGTGCTGGCCACCCACCCCCTCGTGTACCGTTCCGGCCTTCATAGGTGCTCGCTAACAGCATTTGCCCCTACAGCCTGTTAAGGCTATATGGGGGATCTTTGTCATTATTATGCCATCTGTGTCTCTCCCCAAGCCATCTTTTCATCCGTGGAACACAGATGCCCCACTGCAATAAAAGATTAATTTCCCTCGCTCTGGGCGTTACATTCTTTGCTATCCCGTGCTGTGGGAAGACAAAGACGGTTGGGAGGCTCTTTTCCTATGGGATACAGTTTATCTTGGTTGTGTAAGTTTGACCTATTTCGCCTCATCTCTTCTGGATAACCCTCGGTTTAATACTGCATAATTATTATTTGGTTTATGTTGCCCAAGATTTGTGATTTAACATTATCATCACCACGTATTTCTTAGGGTTTTTTTTTTTATTTCGCCCCCCCATCTGTATTCGGGGATCCCTGCTGTTATACTAGAGTAATGTTTTGATGTCGTGAGTTTTAGAGGTATAACTAAGTTTCGGTTAAGCTTCTTGACTGCTGGAATTAATTTCTTTGTTTTTTGTAAAGTCACGTAAACGGCAAGATGTAATATAATTTAAGGTGAATAACGTTAGTATTAATATTATGTATGAGAAGTAATAACCCGCTATGTAGATTGTAGTCTGTTTTTTTATCGTAGTGAGTGTGTAGATTCCTATAATGTCAGCTTATTCTTGTTGCTGGGCTTTTCTTGGACTTTCTGTTAATTAAAATAACCAAAAGTTTGTCTGTCCGGTTTTCTCCGCCCTGGAAGCTGGCGAGGCTTCGAAGCCGTGTCGGGATTTTTTTTTTTAGTCTCTCATTAGGAATTCCCCCCCCCCGCCCTTTCTCTTTGTTTTGGGTTTATTACTTTGTATTGCTATCTCCGGCGGCCTGTTGTGTGTGAGGGGAGGGGGGGGGCTGTATCACCCCCTTTTGCCCCAAGTGACACCACGATTGATAAAAAAAAATTTGACAAAATCATGATTAATATCAATTTTGGAAAAAGGCCTATATATACAACAACCGCCATGCCGACCACTCCACAAATCGGATAATATGGGTGTACGGACGAATAGCAGTGAGCAGCGCTCTCCGTTAACGTGTTGAGCGTGCGTGTTTTATTCAGAACGTGCAGCTGGCGCTGTTGACGGAACGAGGAATGGGTGCGGCGGTGCAAGAGTTTGTTGACAAGGAAGAAAAGGAGGCGATCTCGGAGCTGGTCAAAGTGCAGCTCACGAAGACGCAGGAACATCTGAAGAAAACGGAGGTGTCGTCAGTCGATACCATTGACGAAGAGGTCAGGGGGGCGCGTTCTCTCTCAGATTCGCATCCAGGTTGCATGGAAACGCTGACCTACCGTGGTGTTAATTTCTCACGCGCGCACGTTTTATCACGTGTTTTGGCCTGTTTTTTTGACTGTCGGCGTGTGCTCTTGAAAAGTAGGATGCAGATTGAAGCGTTTTTCACTCCCTCTTCGCCAGGCCCTTGACAAATCGCAGCGCTATTTTGCTCACTTTGTGCAATTAATTGGTAACGCTGTAAAAAAAACAACTTCCTTTTACGTGATGATAACCTCGGCATCATTTATCAACAACAAAAATAAATTGCATCGCAATTATTATTAGTCGGGTAGAATGCGTTGGCACGGCAGTTGCTGTGCTGGGCTCTGAACCCGGTAACCTGAGCCCCTCTCCCTTAACCAACTCGAATTTACCTGCGTGGTGAAGTATGGTCAAACGATCTCTTCTACCGACATGGCCTGAAGAGGCCTCCATTCAGTAAGTGGATTTACAAAAGTGGCTGTAAATTCATTTTGACGTGAAAAAAATGTTAACAAATAATACTAATTTAAAATTATTATACAACTGCTGTTCATCAGAGATAATCTGAGCCTTTATTAAGACATAGTACATCTTAATTCTTAGGAGGCATTTTCCCAGTTAAGCGTGAGACATGATTACATGGTCGTCTTTAACCCTCACCTTCACTCCCTTTGTATCTTATTTCCATTATTATTAGGCTTGTTTACCCAGGAAAGCCTCATTGAGTCTCAATACTCGTTTTTCTTTTCAGAACAGGGTTCTGCCAAGATGTTTCTCAGAGTAATTCCAGTTGAGTAATTTGCAGGATTATTTTTACAGCATTGGGATATTTTTGGCCAATACCAGTTGCACTGAAGTTTTTTTTTAATATGCTATGTGGGGAGGAAACAACAGAGAACCTTGAGAAAACCCTTGCCGAACAGGGGAAGGACATACAATCTCTGGACATCTCTGAAAAAGAGCTTTGTAGCTCATCGGATTCCTCCAGTATAAATAAATATTCTGATTCTGATCACCACACAGAAAGGCACTTGAGTGAGGAATGGAACCCAGGACTTTCTTGCTGTGAGGCACAAGTGTTATCGCTGAGTCGCCCTGCCGCCTTTCATGCCTTGTTGCACTAACACGCCTTTCTATTTCTAACGCCATACGCCGCTCACCCAATCAACGCATCCACCCAACATTATCCAGATATCCCAATGCCATCCGTAGCTGGCCTCTTGCGTGTGTCACCGCTAGCCAACTCCTTAACGCGCCCACCACCTAGACAAACTTCTCGATTTATCGCCATGGCAATGCACGATGAAAGGGGGCCCACCAAATTGCACGTTCCTAACGAGTAATGTAATTAACACATCGGGCGGGGGGGGGACTCTTTCGGAGCCTTGCCTCCCACGGACTGACGAGACGATTTGTGATACGTGAGGAGCAGCAGCGGCGTAGAGAAAATAAGATTTCTGTGACGCTTCATTAGCTCTACCCATGTGGTGGCTCCTGAGTGTTGCTGTTGGCGACAGAGAAAAAGAGCCAGGCAAACGCGGGCCGCTCGGTGACCGTGCTCGCCGCGCCACCAAACGCAATTGTGGACACATTTGGTGGTTGCGCCATTTTTTGGCGCTGCCGTGGCGAGATGTTAACTACCTCGCCTGGTATGCAGGAGGTCATGGGTTCGATCCTGACCGTAACGCCTGCTGTATATTTGGAGTTTGCGTGTCTCTCTCTCATCATCATCATCATCACGGTGGCGAGGAGATGTTAACTACCTCGCCTGGTATGCAGGTGGTCGTGGGTTCGATCCGGACCCTGACGCCTGCTGTATATTTGGAGTTTGCGTGTCTCTCATCATCATCACAGTGGCGAGGAGATATTAACTACCTCGCCTGGTATGCAGGTGGTCGTGGGTTCGATCCGGACCCTGATGCCTGCTGTATGTTTGGAGTTTGCGTATTCTCTCTCTCTCTCTCTCCCCATAGTCACATGGTCCTCTATTTTTTTCCTTCCACATTTAGAATCAAACATGCGTTTAGAGCAGTGGTTCTTAACCTGGGGTGCACCCACCCCTTGGGGGTGCGAGGTGCCTTTTCTGAGAACTAAAAAGGTGCAGACTGCAGTGGTTAAGAGTGTTTGGCTGCTATACATTTCCACACCATCAGCCGCTTCGTTGAGCTATCACATGTGGCCAGGTCGCTTCTGAAAAGAGCTATATAGCTCAGTGGGCCTTACCTGGTAATTTTTTTTATTTTTAATCTCTGCATGGCCGAAAAGGCTCCCCCCACCCCATCCCTCCACTGATTCTTATTTCGTATGGCCCATGTAGAGCAACCATTAGGGATTTGGTTGTAAGCGATTTAACCATTCGATTGGTTTGTCCGAGAGTTGGTGTTTTGCGGATACAAAGACAAAGATCCCTGCATAGCCTCAACAGACTGTTGGGGCAGCGAGCACCTACGAAGGCTGAAACGACACATGAAGGGGTGGGTGGCCAGGAACACACCCGGCCACCTTTGTCTTCCCAGTGACGATGTTAACACACTGCACCGGGTACTCATTTGAGGCTGAGTTGACCTAGAGGCGACGGGAGGGGTGGTGGGGGCATGACCGGTTCAGATAATCGTCACTGGTGTTCGCTGTAAGCAGGATTCGAACTCGGGTTTCCGGGTTCTTACCGCAGCGCGGAAATTACTACACCGCCCACCCAAGCATCTTTAAAACCCTCCGCCTCCATCTACCGAGCAGTATAAATGGGTACGCTGTTGTATATGTCGGGTCTTGAAAAAATAATTACATTTTTCAAGACCCGACATATACAACAACGCCTACAGTAAGTCGATCAATAGGTTGTGTGTGGTGGGGTAAAGTGTGGGTTCCTTTTCAAAGACTTCTTGCCAACATGGTAGCAGAAGCCACATATCCTGAAAAGCCAATTATAGGCCATATAAGGCTGATGCTCTATAAGTATTTAATACGAAGAGATGGAAAGTTTTTTTTTTATTTTATTGTGCATATAATATTTGGTTCACTGCGCAGCTGGCCAAATAAAACGCGTTTACTCAGCTTAATGTCTCTCAGAGCAGATTTAGTCTATGCAAATGTGTTCAGCGCGCTATTAGCAATAAACATGCAGTGAGCACCCAGTACGGTTCACCGCTCGGTCGGCTCCAGCCTGAGATACGTCCCCCATCGCCAATACCAATCACCACCACCATGAGGGTGAACGCAGCGTGATTTAGCCGCGACCGATGACTGTTATCGCTTTGTGTTAAACATTACTTAAGCGCTTGTCACCGTTTATGTTACAGTCATGCTGTCAGCATCTAAGCACAGAGTAAATCTTTGTTTTTATTGTGTACGCCTACAAAGACAAAATTGCCCCTGAATGCGTCCAATCTTGTTAGTTAAGCAAGATTTGTTTTAAGCTAGGAGAGACTGAATGGGGGAGTGTAAGGTGTTTTAGTCTCTGGTTGCAAGGTGGTGTGGAGATGACAATTACATCACTGGTTTTCTTGAATCATCTTCTGTGTAGCGTTTTAAGTCTTCCTGAATTGTGTGATAGTCTTTTATACCTACTGCAGATTTCCTTCATTTATGCCAAAGCACTCGTGAATGTAATTGGTCACACTGCCCAAGAAGGGACCCAACTTGAAAAAAGAGTCTTGAGATTCATGAGCCTTTATTGGGTAAATAATTATTTCCATTATATCAGGAACATTACAAAATGAGCCACATGCAACGTTGGAAATAAAAAGCTGAAAAGTGCGCAGAGTACACTTGTAGTTGAGCAACACGCGGATTAGAAAACATCTTCGTCGCTGTTAATAAAATACGTTTGGCTTATCAGGAACATTACAAAATGAGCCACATGCAACGTTGGAAATAAAAAGTTGAAAAGTGCGCAAAGTACACTTGTACTCGAGCAACACGCGGATTAGAAAACATCTTCGTCGCTGTTAATAAAATACGTTTGGCTTAGGCCGGACGCGTCGCGAGGAAAGGATGATGACCGGTAGCCGCCCCCCCCCCCCTTTCCACCGTAAGAACGCGTGCCAGAGAATACGTCCACCGCGGAGATGGAGCGATGAAATCGGCTCACCCGCAGATGCCAGATGGATTGTTGCGTCATGAGATTGTGACGGGATGGGGTGATCCTAAAGTAATATCACAGCTTCTGGAGGCTGGTTCTGGTTTGCACACTGTTTGCTTAACGAGTAATTGTTTGTGCAGAATCTGCGAAAGGATGTCAAAGAATGTCAAATTTAAGTTGCAAAAAAATTAATTTCATACAGTGGCAATTTTGTTCAGCCATTAATGATCATAACACTTCCGTTATTTTATTTTGAAAATATTTTTCATGTTCTTGTTGCTGTTAATATTTTCTTTATTTGTGTTATACTTTGGTTTTTCGCCATTATATTCACCTCCAGTCTCCATGGCAATCTATGAGAATCTTCGGATAAGTCTCACTTCATCCTTGTGTCTTGTAATCCGGAGAATGCATTGTTTTCCGGAAGACTTCCGAACCTGATGTTTTTAAATCACCGCGTTTGCAACCCCTGGAAGACGGCTCTATAAATTACCATATTCCTCCGATTCTAAAGTACACGTTTTTTTTTTTACCAAAATCACTCCAAAGTACATCTTTCTATTCCTGAGCATCTTAAACTTCTCGAGAATACAATGCAGTCCCCTCACAATGGATCGTTATCATCTGTCGCCGATAGCGGGGCAAACGAGTCACCCGAGCTACTACATGACCAGCTCGTGCGCCGCTTCCGGCCTTCGTTGCCCTCGCTAAAGATGCCTCGTCCCGTTTCAGGTGCGCCACTTCCGTGAATCCTGCAAGAAAAACATGCAAGAGGACGAGGACATCAAAGAGGTATTTTTTGTTTGATCTGCGCTGGCGCTACGTCGTACCCCCACCGGCCTTACGAGGCGGTGGGACTGTCCTCCGTCAAAATGTCCCCAAAAACACGAGCCTGCTTATGTAAGAAAAAAATTATTGTCATCGGAGTGATGAGTCACGACCCCTGCTTACTCGGATAAGACGTGTCAATTGCGAGACAGCACAAAAGGAAGAGGCACCCGCACATGTCCCAATTGAGACGTGTAGTGTTCCCTCTTTGGCTTGACCTTTTTTCGATCGACTTCGGCATTTCCACTAAAATCCCCTAACAAAATACGACAGGTTGGTTCGGCTTTTGGCGGTGCCTCGCGCGCAGTTCTTCAACATGTCTTAAATGATTTATTTTCTTTGAACGTTACCTCTAAATTGTTAACTGCGAAACTCGTGGCGTCAAGGGCGACATGAGATTGGTTGCATTTAGCCGTCAAATATTTTTCAATTTATAAAGTGGGAGAAGGGGGCCATTTTTATATCGCTGTTAAGTCATCGGTGCTAGCAGATCGATTTTAATCGAGGCATGCATAGAGATAATTGGTTGTGAAAGGATTCCGCTCACGGTCATATGGCAGGTAACAACACCACGCTGTAGCACTCCACATCCAGAACTCTCTCACTCTCCCCTTTTTATTCCCTGGTCCACTTTTGTTTGCCAGGCAATTATTGCCCAGGGGCTTGCTTTCTCCTCGAAGATGACTCACTGACTCAAGCACGTCTGAGTCTAATACTAATATCTGCACAGGGCTTTGCCCCAGGTCATGATTCGCTGGCCAAGTGCCTGCCGAATGTCCCGCATTCCTTGCCAGTCACCCTTTGTCAAGGGCTTTTGTCCCAGATTATGATTGACTTGGTCAGGTCTCCAACAGTTGTGTATATGTATGTTGAACTTCTTTTGCACCGTACATACGTAGCCAACCGTGATGATCGGGAGGTGCGGGGAGAATTTTAGTTAGGCATGCAGAGGTTTTAGGTACGAGTACCAATTTGGGAAGGATAAAACAAAGATAGATGGAGTCAAGCTTGAGAGTGATGAGGTGACTAACTTCAAATGAATATAAATATAAAATAAAGAAAGTTTACTGTTGAGATCTTGGGATAAAATCTGGGTTTCAGACACCTGTGATGAATCTTTGTTCTCAAGTTTACCGAATGTATTCGCTATGCCTTGTCACCAATAACTGTGGCTGATTTGGCCAAATTCCAGTTCTGGAAATTAAAAAATATTGGTTTGACTGCCGTGCGATGAACATCACTGTGAGCGGCAGAGAGGGTAGGAAAGTGCTGGCCCCTTCTGTGTGTCGACCAGAGGTCACTTAAGGGATCTGTGAGGTAGCTCTGTGCTATCCACTTCCATTGACAATTCCCTAACACAAAACGTTGCACTGCTCTATGAAACATCTGAACAGATACTTCACCTCGTGACTCAGACACCGATAGCACATTTATGATAATATTGTGGGATAAGATTTATTTTGTATTAAAAAAAAAATCTCTAATCTCTTGTTTTGCCCCGTCTTATAGGCAGTGAGCCGCTCCCGAGCAATCAGACCCACTGGGGAGACGAGCGATCACGACGATGACGACCAAGACGATGAGGAGAGGGCAGACGAGGTCCGAACTCCTACGAGCAGGGGTCGAGGCAAGGGCAGCAGGGGACGGGCCAGAGGTCAGGGGTCGGCGGGCACAAGGGGCAGGACGCTGAGAGGAGGTCGGGGTGAGTCGTATTCCGTGCGGTGTGACTGCCCGAGAGTCGCAAGTGGCTGGGTGCCTGTCAGGTGATCCGTGGCGGCTAGCTATTTAGGTCCTGCTCGTTATAAAAATGGTCCACCCTAAACCACATCGACTGCATAAACCATGGCAGCTGATGCACAAATGTTAATCAAAATACTCTCCAGTGTGCGACTGTTCTCATCCAGAACAGACCGTGCAACGTATAACAACGCAATGCCCGATCCACGAAGGAAACATCGCAGCGATACACTCTGCTACTCCTGACGCGTTTATCTGGCTTGACCACCTGAATGTGAAATTGTAGTTTGTTGCTCTGCATGTACATCAGCCATACGAAAGAAGATTATAAAAAGGATAAGCTGCATACGCAACTGGACTGAGCCTATCTTGCTCACATCAAGATCCGAGATCTTGATGCGAGCAAGATAGGCATCACGATCCGAGATCTTGATGCGATCGGTGCGTTCCAGATGAATTTGGCCATCGACATCGTACAGTACAGGAAGTGGGTGTTCATGTCGCTCGATTCCGTAGAAGAAGACCGATAGTTTCTCATGACAGATGTGGCCCCCTTTTGTGCTTCATATACCCGAGGATGTTTTCATCAGTGGGAGCCCATCAGAGGCTGGAAAAAAAGGCCTGGGTAGACACACACCAGAGATTACACCTGGTTGAGTAAATGAACGATTGTTTAAACAATGTTCGCCGCTTTCATGCTGAGCAAGGTAAAACAATATATGTGCAGCACCGCAGTATTTTAGCTCACGCCATTGGAGGCAGAAGGACCTTGGGGCTTTGGCCTACTCTTCCACTCTCGCCAGACGTCTTGGAAGAGGTGTGGGAGCACCCGCCCTTTACTCCCCGACTAAGGTGGTTGTCTAAAACCGGCAAAATCTTTGCAAAAAATATATCCTGTACCTGTAATGGCCGATATTAGTTGCATAATGTCTCACCCTCCCTACTGTGCAATGGATGAAAAGACAATCGTTTGCTATATTTAAGTCCGTCTTGAAAACTTACCTCTATAAATTGGCCTTTAATTCCCTAGGTCTGGCCGTGTACCTTGCAGGTTCTGTTTATTTCCCACTTTCCGTACACGGGGCGCATTAATGGGATCTACTACGGATGAAATGCACCTTACAAATCTACATTTTTATTATTGTTACAGCTCGGGTTTGTTATTCGATTCAGGCTTCTATTTGTTTTGTCTCAATTTGACTCTGTAACATGCATTTTTAATCTCTCCTCTCTTCTGTCCTGTTCTCTCTCGCAATTAGCCTAAACACGTGTAAACATTCGCGTACAATTTGCATAAATCATAAAGAAACGTGTGTGTTCTCAACGCGCACGCATTTCAATGCGCCTATGATGACCAGCATTGAACGGCTGAAACGTTGCATGCCGAGTACGCGCGGAATCCACTTAATGGCTTTGAGGGCTGAATGTTCAAAGAGTCGATGTAAGCAGAGTGGGACATAAATGACCTCCGGAGAAAAAGTGCTTCTCCCTCGGGCCTCGTATGCGGGGAGCAGTGGCGCAGCGGTTAGTTCTGCACGGTGTGTGTCTGTGTGTTAGACTCTTTGAGCGTTTTTGTTAGGGCAGCGGTTCTCAAAGTTTGGTTCCCGGACCACCAGCATCATCAGCCCTCTCTCGTATTTCCTTAGAACTGCTCTTTGTGTTTATTTTGTGGTCTTCCGCCGCCCCTCCGATTAGCACGGTTGGCTACGTGCGGTGCAAAAGAAGTTCAACATGCGTACGCAAATCGGCGCACACTTTCAACTGTATGCTCTCCGTAAACGTAGCACGATTTGCGTACGCGCGTACAATGGGAGTGGCTGGTCTCATTCATTAGCACAGCTATTACACGAAGCAGCCAAGTAGGCTAGTTGCATTAGTGACGCATTAGCCACAAGTGCATGGTTGAGACGCAATGACCTCAGGTGTGACCGATTTGAATGCCGTTAGCATTGAGCCGCTCTGCGTAACGTGCGCTTCTGTTAACGCCAACACTGCCCTTGCATCGCCCACGTGCAGATGAGAAAGTTTCTCGTCCACTCGTCGGCAAGAAATGGCCTCTGTTTGTTCCAGTATATGGCCAAGCTCTGGTTTATTTTTTGACAGGAGGTTGAATTTAGCAATCAGGTTAACTTTACATTTGGTTGACATTGAAGTAGCTGAGAAACTGTCATGTTATCTACGTGTTCCCAATCAGATGTGGACATTTTATCTGTTAATGATAAGTGTGATTGTAAGAGAGTCTTGTCTAAATTATCAAGTTCACACATTAAAAAGTTAGATGTTAACAAGATTCAATCAGAGTAACAGCCCAATTTCCGACAACCTAAAATCGGTAATCGCTAAAGGGTTAAATTGCGTAGTCACCCCAAAACACATCACAGTGGATGGTATCATTGCCCAGGTCAATGTATCCCTCAAAGGTTTGGGACACATCCCGGCAGACGTTGCAAGATCTGAAATCGCTGCTGTCCTCAAAAATGCTAAGAAACCCATTAGCAACATCAGCAAGGACGAGCGTTTTGAACTCGCTCAATTAAAAAAGAGAGATGACATTGTCATCCTCTCAGTCGACAAGGGCAATGCCACTGTCATCATGGATGAAACCACTTAGAACAACAAAATTCAGGACCTTCTTAAATGATGGCAGCTACACCAACATCAATAGAGATCCTACCAACCGCCTGGCTACGAAAACCAACAATAGCATCACTAAGTCGACTTCTCTCATCGAACCAACCAAGCAGCTCTCTCTAAAACCTTCGGCTGCTAGACCATCCAGATTTTATGGCCTTCCAAAAATCCATAAAGAAGGTACCCCGCTCCGTCCTATCGTCTCCACCATTAACTCACCAATCTACAAACTGGCCCGATTGCTGTCTGAGACCCTGCTTCCTTTCACGGGCAAGACCACCTCAGCTGTACTTAACTCAGCTCACTTGGTTTCTCTAATCAAGGACATCTCTCTGTCTCCAGATGATTTGCTTGTCAGTTTCAATGTAGTCTCGCTGTTCACCAAGGTACCTGTACTTGACACCATTGCAATCATTGAAGACTTGGTCCAACTGGGACAGTATCCTGATGTACCAACTTTGGTGAGGCATTGCCTTACCAGCACTTCACCTGGAATGGCACATTCTACAAACAAAATGAGGGTACCCCAATGGGTTCTCCCTTATCACCAGTGGTAGCAAATGTTTTCATGGAGAAATTTAAGACAGATGCCATCCAGACATCCACTCTACGTCCTTCCTTGTGGAAGAGATACGTAGATGACACGTTCGTTATCTGGCCACATGGCCTGCCAGCACTGAACCAATTTTTCAACCACATCAATTCCATACACCCATCCATCAAATTCACCATGGAAGTGGAAAATGATGGCAAGCTACCATTCCTGGATGTTTTGATTGAGAAGAGACCTGATGGCTCGTTGGGACACTATCTACAGGAAAGCCGCCCACACGGATTCCTATCTAAAGCCTGATTCCCACGACCATCCAGCCCAGAAGAATTCCATCATCAAAACACTATACCATAGGGCCCGTTGCATCTCCGACCATCACCACCTATCCAGTGAACTGGAGCACGTACGCCAAGCCTTCAAGATGAATGGATATTTGGATCGCACAATCCGCAAAGCTGTATCCCCAACCATAGGGAGGGAATCATCTTAAGAATTCCATCATCAAAACACTATACCATATGGCCCGTTGCATCTCCGACCAGCACCACCTATCCAGTGAACTGGAGCACGTACGCCAAGCCTTCAAGATGAATGGATATTTGGATCGCACAATCCGCAAAGCTGTATCCCCAACCATAGGGAGGGAACCATCTGAGGACCCAATCAAAACCATCACCTTGCCATACATAGGGGTTACCAAAAATATTTCCAAAATCTTGAACAAACACAAGATCCAGGTTCGATTCAACACAGTACACAAAATCCGTGATTTGATCCCATCTGTGAAAGATGTGATTCCTGACATGCAATATCCTGGTGTCTACAAACTAAGTTGTGTCTGCGGCAGCAGTTACATTGGGAAAACGAAACGACATGTCTCGGACCATGTTCGTGAACACAAGGCAGATTTGAAACACGGCAGAACCAACACCTCTGCCGTGGCTGATTACTGTTTGAACGCGGTGGGCTCACACGATATTGTCTTTTCCGAGACCAAGGTACTCTGCAAACCTTCGGGCTACCATCAAAGATTTGTCCATGAAGCCATCCAGATGTATCAACACAGACATAGCTTCAACCGAGAAGATGGATACAAATTAAGCAATCATTTGGAAGGACGTGATCAACCAGGTAAAGTTTAAACTGCTTTGATGTTTCCTTCCTACCTGCCAATAATAGCCGACTCTCATATTTCCGGGCCCTAGCCGAGCTCGGCCCTTGCCGAGCTCACATTTACAAGCGAATTTCTCTCTCCTACTCGCTCTCTCCTGCTCGCTTCCACATTAACATTAGCTGCCCCGCCCATCTCTAAACCTTTATAAACAGCCTGCCTCAGCAGATTCCCCCTCTTTTCACCTGAAGACAGTTGCTTGTGTTGCGATCGAAACGTCGTGATTTTGTTTTCTACCGACGTGACTTTACCGAAAGAACCAAAGAGTATGGATTACTGCAGTCACGAAAGCTTCAAATCAAGATCATATTATAGGTGTAGCTAATGCATTCCCAGCTACTAATGCAAAGTGACAATTTAAATGATATAGAATGGCCTTCCCACCAATAATTGCTGTGACATTTATTGCAAAACTGTCTGGAAATTGATCCTGGGAGATAAAAAAATGTTTTCATGTATATTTGAAGGTGTAACTTTTTCTTGGATTATTTCAAACGAATTATGATTAATCCCCAGAAAATAGATTTTGCTGCGTGAAAATTACATACTTGCCTGCCCATATGTCTCAACCTCTTGACATTTTTGCACTACATGTGGAGGTTTTGTGTGTCGGGCCATCAGCTCAGCTTCACACGAGGTTTCCCCGAGGTCTTTGGACCTCAATCGAAAAACAAAGTTCGGTGACCTCACCTTTCCCTTTTTGCCGGGCCACTTGCCCAGGACGCCTTCCGCCGCTGCAACGTCCCAGCCGCTGAGTCACTGCCGTCATTCAAACACTCGCTCAGAGCCGCCCACCCTCGTCAATAGCCACGAGTGCCCGTGACACCTCGTTCATCGTTACAGTGGACCGATGAAGAATATGGAATGTTTCAGCCGTTTGTTCGGCGTCCTCCCTTGAGACGGGCTCGCCGTCGTGTGCTGCAACGCCGTCGAAGATTTGTCTGGTGAATGACGCACGCCGCCTTGCTGGAGACAAAGATGTTCTCAGAGCGCGTTCCCCAACGCTCCTCCATGTGACTCCGCGGGGGCTGTGATGCAACCGCAGGTTGATCTGGACAGTTAGTGACAACGTTTATTTTACCTCATGGTTTTCGGACATTAATCAATATTTTACTTGTGATATTTAATTTAACAATGGAATGAGGGAAAACACCCTGATTAAACTGCCCAAACCTTAAGATCTAAATGTCCCCCCCCCCCTATCGCCACTGGGGAGACAAAGACGGCCGGGCGTGATGTTGGCGACCCACTCCCTCACGTGATGCTCCGGCCTTCATAGGTGCTACTCGCTAACATCACTTGCCCCAACAGCCTGTTAAGGCGCTACGGGGGAATCTTTGCCTTAATTATTTTATTTACTTCTGCCGCGTTAATCTGTGGTGCGGGACCCGACCCGGAAGACCCGCACCGTGAGTGTCCACTGACCGTCGCCGCCGTGAAACGTCGTCGTTTGTGTGAATGCCTCGTTGCAGGCAGCCGCGGCAAGGCCGGCGGGTTCGGTTTGGACTTTCACAATGAGCCCCCCCCCAGTGCCAGACGCAAGGCCCCGGCAGCAAACGTCGCCCCACAATCCACCATTGACGGTGAGAGCGCATGCACGCACATTGGCCTGGGGGCACAACAGCCACCGCGGGCACCGCGGTGGCTAGGAGATGTTAACTACCTCTCCTGGTATGAAGGAGTGCGTGGGTTCGATCCCGACCCTGACGCCTGTTGTATATATGGAGTTTGCATGTTCTGTCTGTCTCCCCGTGGTCACGTGGATTCTTCTCCGAGTCCTCCGGTTTTTCCCTCCGTCTTTTGAATCATGCGCTTAAGAGTATTAGGCTGCTATAAATGCCCACTTGGTAAGCCACTTCGTTGAGCTATCATTTATGGCCAGGTCTCTTCTAGTGTTATAAGTTTAGATTATTGAGCTAATCAGCTGCCAATATATTCTCCATTCGTGTTTTTAAAAAATTTTGTTAGAAATTCAATGGAATATCACAGCATAACATGTGCATTTTGTGGAAAATATTGCTAATTTTCCTTTTTTTGCGCGTGTGTAAGCAATGTTTACAACTTCGACACAAAAGCCTTCCAGGTCGGCATCTGTTACGAAGAAATACAACCCGCCCGTACAGGTAAACACGACAGCAGGGGCTGTTTGCATGAATTATTTTTCTCGTATATGGACATTAATTTAGTAGCAGTTATAAACCAATTTCTTAGTTGTGAATCCAGCTGCTGGCTTCAGAATTGGGCAAGTGTGAACCCCGGTCGTGCCCTCGGGAGAACACTCACAGTGGACACGAGTTTAAACAGAGACCCAGGGACTCTTATAGATACCCGCATACTCTCATAGAGACCCATAGACTCACATAGAGACCCGTATACACACACAGAGACCCATATATTAACATAGATACCCATATACTCATGCAGAGAAACATATACTCACTTAGAGACCTGTATACTCAACTCGCACAGAGACACAGAGTCACGCACAGAGACCCATATACTCACACAGAGACCCATATATGCACACGGAGACACGGAGCATAGTGATTCTGTATGATTGTCGTGCGAGGAACATTCAGTGGTAGAGCGAGTAGGAAAGTGCTGCTCCCTACTGTGCAACGTGATGTCGACAGCAGGATTGGGATACAGAGGGGAGCAAAACTTTTCTTAGAAGCTTAAGTCAAAAGGAAGAGCAGATCTCGGAGGTTCGGTGTCAGTTGCTGCGATGAAAATGTGTTGTGACATCGGCGGCACTGGCCATGATGACGTCTTAACCTCGCCATGAAATGTTTAATGTTTGCAGATAAGTGACAGTGAGAGTGAAACTGAGCTGCTTTCTGCATCCCCAAAGAGAAGCAGTGAGAGGAATCGAAATGAGGTCACCGGGTTCGTAGCGCAGTGCACTAACCACAACACTAGCTCTCATGTACATGTATATACACACACAAAAATAATAATAATAATAAAGTGTATTTGGTGTTCACGTCCTTATTGCATCATGAAGGCTATCGAGAAGGGGCTATGTTTTTTATTTGTGAGCTATACAGAATATATCTGCCATGACTGGCTATAGGTTTGTCTCATGTAGCATCAACATAGAAATATAAGTATATGCGTTAAAGATCCCATGATACAATTGGCAAGATTGGGCCATTGTGTTACTGAAGTCATGGTCTCAAGTTGAAACAAATGGTAACATCATATTATTTGTGTATGCAACAATTGAAATTGTCGATAATCCATTGTTACACGCTTGATTCGACGCTCATGCCCTTCGTGTCGGAATCACATTTGATGGATGAATCTGACGCGTGTCGTTCAGACGCCTAATTTTCATTCTGCACCACAGGCCCGCGGGAAGTTCCAGAGCTCCTTCTGGCTCCTACAGGACGAGCTCGCAGAGCCACAGAGGCGTCATGTTTGACGACGACGACGACGAGGTGAGTCACGTTCCGCGATGAACCTGAAGGGACCTGGTGGCCTTTCGTTACCCTTCTTACACGCGAGGTCAGCCAAGTTGCCCTGTCATGGAAATCACGAAACGTACAGTCATGGCTTTAATGACACGTACCATTTTCATTCTTTTATATTACCTCTACGATCATTTTTTTTTAATTGAAAGAGATGCTGGGGGTCGCTGAAACGCAAAGCATTGCACCTCTTTTTTTTTTAGACCATTGGTTCAAAAGGTGCCCGAGTTGGTTCAGAGGTCAGTGCGATAAGCTGTCACCGCTGAGATCCCACGATTCCAAATTTGCATATCAACTGCCTCTGCACTAAGCCGGCATCTCAAGTGCAGTGAGTTGATGGTCTCAGCCAGATCACCCATGACTGTACTTATCCCCTGGTGGTGTCATTAAGATGCCTTTTTTTAAAGAAGTCTTGCTCATTGTTAACCTTTTCGCTAACATATTTTCACTTGCGAACTGTGTATAACCTTAAATTTTGACTCTAAAGCTTTCGTGACTGCAGGAATTCATATTCTTGGTTCTTTCGGTAAAGTCACGTAGAAGGCAAACAATAAAATAATAATTTTATTGTTTTATATTTTTATTATTTTATTGTTTCCCTTCTTCATGACTTTACCGAAAGAACCAAGAATATGTGTATAACCTTGTTTTTGTCATTATCTTGTTATTAAAAATTAAGTGGAGTGTCTTAGCAACACACCTTTTTTACACATTTAACGTGCCCTGTTTTCTCTTTAGATTATTTCAAATCTTTTATGCTTGATATCTTCGGATCTACGAAGCATAACTAGCTGAAATTTTCTACACAGACTCATCTTGTGTGACAATTCAAGATTTCATAAAAAAAAACGGTCCAGGTCCCGCCGATCCTGGGCCTCTAAATGTTTTTACTTAAAGTTTTTATTGCACTATTCCAAATATATTAGAATTATCCTGACAATAATTAATTATTATTATTATTGTCTGGATTGAGATCTTAGAATGAATATGTACGTATACTTATTATGTTTGCAATATTAACATAAAACACTATAAATACAATTTCAATTTACAAGCTTAATTTTAAAGGGTTTTCCAAATCAAACTTGATTAATTCTGGGGTCAAAACAATTTAGATGTAATTGATTTTTGAGATATATTCAAATTCAAAGTAGTCAACCAATTCCCGTTAAATCTGATATTAAATGTGGATATTAATAAACGGAGAGATTGAGGCTATTACTTCTTTCTTTCCTGGACTTCAACATCACTGCATTAAAATGACCAGAACGTATGTTCAAGTCTTATTTAAGTAAATGACAGTGATACTTGAACGTAAAAAGAAAAAAAGTTTAATGTTTTTACACACACTTTTATTTGCACTCAAAAGTAGAAATACAGTAGTTTGACCCCGGAATTAATCTAATTTGATGTGCTGAATAAAAGTCAGTGGCTTGCATAAAGAAAATTAAACATATCGAAAGTAAACCACCCACTGTTATTCAGCACATCAAATTGTGATTCATTCTGGGATCAAAATAATTTATTTTCGACTTTTGAGTGCAAATCTAAGTACGTACAATGACAAACTTATTTTTGTTACCAATTTTTTTTCTATTCTTAACACAGGTCAGATGGATAATTATCGAATTTCTTTTCACAGGATGAAGACTATAATCCTTTCAAATAGAAACAGGGCACGTCGAAGGAAGAAATTGTTCAGTTTGGAATCCGTGTTAAATCTTTTCCTCTACATTATAGCCTTGGGTATGAGGGTGGCTGGGGGCTGCTTGAGGAGCTCATGAAGGCAACGTTTCGCCAGGGTCCCAGATTCACATCAGGCTGGCCGTTCGCGGTTTAAACGTTCGCACGTGGGGAGTGTCGATCGCCTTTATCTGATCACCAAATGTCGGCGGAAGAAATAAAAATGAAAAAAAAAACACCAACGTGTGATTTTTTTTCTCATTGCTCAAGGTAACCTCTTTGAGATTCGGAAGGCCGGTGTGTCCTAAATCAATCGGATTAAATAGGGTGTGACACGTGTCATCGAACATGAAAGGCGTGTCACCCACCTTGTGCTGAGCGAGGCCGAGTGAAGTGACTCCCGAAGTAGCTTTGCGTCTTATTGATACCACCTGGCACGATGTGATGCTGCGCTGACTGAGGGAGTCTCAAGAAGGGGGAGGCAGGGGGAGTTTTTTTTTTTTACCAACCTGACCTTGACCACCTTGATACGAAATAATCGTTTGCGTTGTTGTTTGGGAATTCTTTATGACAGAATAAATAGGCAGACGGTATGTCTCCACATATCCGTCTGGCCACGTAAAAACAAAAGCAAGCATAAAAATCTTACACAACCCATCAGCCGCACGGCCTTCTGGGAGTGCATAATCTCATCAGTATTGTTTCACCATAAGCAAAAATTCTGAACCGGTTTTAACACCCACAGTATGCTGACAAATTGGTGATACAGTCGCTAATGTGACCCTCTGTCTTGCATCATGCCCACTTGGTGGAGCTGCTACGACTTGTTGGCATTTAATCCTGTCCCATCCCTTTCCCATTTTGATGACGTACGTGTACGTCATCAAAAGAACTAAAATAAATTAAATGTCGGTACATCATGAGGTCGGAAGACGTACCGAGGCTCCCACAAGGCCATGCGGGAGGGCGCTTGGCACAGTTTGGCGCCAGCTATCGTAGGGTTGCGGTCGTGTCGCTAGAGTTTTCTGCAGCCTCTCTAAATAAAATTAACGCTCAACCACTTGCGCGTTCAATGATTCAGCGGCGAACGGAACCAACGCCCACCCTGCAACTTGCCGATGTCTCGGAACGCTAAAGGGTTAAGCTGGCGCCCTCGCACACAAGCTGCGCAGCTTCGTAGTGCGTGCGGTCTGCTCTCCATAGGACGTCAATCTGTTCGGCGTGATAACAGAGTGGTGGGCAATGCGACGACTGCCTGCCTGCTGGAAAAGTTATCAAATGTGGGTTTTGTTGGGACTCATGAGACAACTAAATTTATGTAAAAAAAACATTTCACCCTTAAAAGCGTGTGCGCGGAAAAGCGTGCTTCCTATTGTTACGTGGTCGGAAACTATAAATCTGGTCAAAAGTTGAGAATGGAGTAATGTGAATGTCTCACAAGAAAAGGCGAGGACTTTGGAAAGGAAGGTCATGGTGTTCGTGGAAATCGTGAATTTGAATAAAGGCTAAAGTAACATTTTTGAACGAGCACTTCCAGCCCACTTTATACTCCGTGACTGTTTCATGAATGATGTTTTTCCTCCCCACAACACTTTGTCTATTCATTTTACATTTAAAAATACCGCAGGAATATGAAACTCACCTCGCACGTTAATAACACTGACCTTAACAGCAAAAAAGTACAACTAGGTGACCTTCTGGGAAACTGGCCTTAATAGCAAATCTATTTCCATTCTAAGTGGTATCCATGAGTATTCGGAATATAACGGTGGTTAATAATGAAGCAATGTAATTTAAATATGTAATTAATGGAAAGGTTGGCTACTTTATTGGTGGCACATGCATAGTCCTTTGTCAGTCCACTGCTGGATAACGGCCTTCCTTTGCCGTGTGAATCATGGACGGGGGAGGGCGGGAGGTGATGATTTGACCCATACCTCACCGTGCTTGTCAGTTCTGGTTGGCAAATGCGGGGAGCATAGAAGTACAATACGTCAGTGGGTTTTGCTGCACCGGCCTCCGCTCCACAATGTTGTGCATGGCGGTTGCACATGCAATCAATATTCAGGCTCAATCAAGCTTGGCTTCTGAGATCCGTCGCGATCGTGCACATTCGGGAGTGATTGAGCCATAAGCTAAGCATCTGCCTCCAAAATGCCCAATTAGGACAGGGGTCACGCTGCCCCTTGCGCAATAACAATAACTGGCATAACTTGATTTAAAAAAAAAAAACAGGTAATCGTGTGATGTTCCTTGCAATTGATGAGTAATATGCTTTGCATTGTGCTCGGTTAAAATGGGCCGAGAGTCACTTATCTTTGAAAGTAAAATTCCTCTTAGATGCAACGCAAATTGATTTTGCCATTCAGACGGACGTGCTGATTTTGCATTCAGTGTTTCCAATTTAAACGCAGTTTGGAGGCGACCAGTTGGCCCAGTGGTCAGTGCCGAGCTGGCACCGTTAAGATTTTGGGTTCGAATCCAGCCACCCCCCTACCTATGGTTAAACGAGCTTCTCGTGTTACCTCGGCCTCATCACCAATGAACGCGCGCGGGCCAAACAAAAAAAAACCCCGATGAATTTTAGTTCGTTCTTCACTTAATTTTGCGAAATTCCTGCTCTTGAGAATTGAAATACATCGGTTCAAGTCACGCGACGAAACTTCAACTCTCGCATGCAGAGTGGGTGGAAAAGTGGTGCTCTCTGCTGTGCGAACCTCTGATCCCCTGGTCCGCACAGCAAAGAGCACACAGCACCACGTTCCCTTCTCGATCACTCCCGTAGCCACCAGTCCCTTCGCACTCACAACTGATAACCCTGTCATTAGCTCCCGTGGCATCTAGTGCATTCGCACCGTAGGCTGACTCCCCTGTCATTACCTCCCGTGGCCACTAGTGCATTCGCACCGTAGGCTGACTCCCCTGTCATTACCTCCCGTGGCCACTAGTTCACTCACACCGCATGTAGACTCGACTGTCATTCCATAGATATGGGACTGCAGAGCTTTGGAAATTATTGACTTATTCTATCTCTTCGAGAGTGAGCAAATACGGTGCAAGGCGTTACAAGTTTAAATGACTACGGTTCCAAATAAACTACCCACACTTTTACTTAATTGGGATTATCCATATTAGCAAGCGTCGCCTCCTAAACCAACTTGGCACCACCCTCCAGGTTGCTTTTTTTTCTCTCACCGCAGGTTGCCTAGCCTTGTCGCTGACGTCACATGCAATGGACGAATCGAAATGCGCGTTGGTGACGCTGCGTGTCGTCGCAGCGTTCTGAATGACGTCGCACGCAATGGCCGCAACGTCGTAACGAGAAACAGATTAGTGATTACATGTACGCGGACGTGTCATCACGACGTCACGTGACGTGACGCGACGTTGCATCGTTGCATCCTAGTTTATGTGGCCTGCCAGACAACATAGTTGAACTCGTTTTTTTTATTACGTCCATAAACTCTATTGTCTTTCTAGATTTGAAGCTTTCGTGACTGCAAGGATTCATACTCTTTGCTTTTTTTTCGGTAAAGTCACATAGGTGAAAAAATTTAAATAAATGAAAACAACTCAATCACGACGTTTTGGAGGCAACACAAGCTTCCTTCATCAGGTGTAAAAAAAAGGCACAACTACAGTTATTTTGCTGTGCCTTTTTTACACCTGATGGAGGAAGCTTGTGTTGCCTCCGAAACGTCGTGATTTAATTTAGTTTTCATTTTATTTTTTTTACCCACGTGACATTACCGAAAAAAACACAAAGAGTATGAATTGTTTTTTTGTGGAAACAATGTTCGTCTTAGCAGGCAAAACAAACGAGAGAGAGAAAAAAATGGCTTCTGAAATGCAAAGCGCACTTTTGAGTTAAGTGGACTCCGTACGAATTGTGCCGAGCGCCGCAACAAAGTCTCGTCAAATTTTTTTTTACAAATTGCGGCATCGCGCACCGCCCCGCGATTCGCAACGGCAACTGCGCTCACATCAGCTCCGAGCGCACCGTCGAGCACCCGTTGTCAATCTTGATCAGGCGCCACATTTTTTTTTAAACCTCTCGGCCTTGAATGCATTAGCAAACTCCCCCCCCCCCTCCTCCCCCCGAATCCCGTGAACGTGAAAACAAATAACAAAAAAGATATCTGACCTATGATAATAATAAAACGCTCAACGTGTCCGTCAATAACCCCAGAGGCCTTAAAAGAAAAGTGAAAAGCAATGCCCCTTCTTGTGAGCACATCAAATATCCTGATCCCATTTGTTTAGAAGCTTCCTGTGGCTCGGTGGGAAAAACGAGTTGCTTCTGCGAATTGAGCTCGTGGGATTACGTCAGTATTTACGCCACTGCCTTTGAACTAAAATGTAGTTAATTGTTACGTGATTTTGCGCGCGCGTTAATTTTGCGTGACGTTTAAAAAAAATTTCGCATTCAAATTCGACTCTCCGCATTTTAGGAGGCCATGCACTTTTACGTATAAATTTAAAACCTTTTCCAACTGATTTTGGTTGTTTATTTTTTGGAAGTTACCCCGCACCTCCGATTAATTATCACGGTTGGCTACGTACGGTGCAAAGGAAGTTAAACAACATACATTCATACATTTTAGTCAATAATAATGGTGAGTGTCTGCTGCCATTCATTTTTAACCAGTAGATGTCAGAATCTCAGAGATGAAACGGTCAACTCTTTTTTTTCCACCACCTGGGCTGCCAGAGCTCCCAGAACAGTACACACATACCTGGACATCTCTGCGTGGTTCACAACCATGTATCCTGAAACGTTTCCTGAATTTTAGCCGATGGAATGGGAGGGGGGGGGGCTTCTTTTAGGTCTTGTTGGAGTGGGTGGCAGATCGATTTTTTCCATGACTTCAACTTTTTTATTTTACCAGGTAAGGCCCACTGAGCTCTATAGCTCTTATTCAGAAGCGACCTGGCCACAAACGGTGGCTCAATGAAGTGGCTTATCGCGTGGACATTTATCGCTGCTAAATTATCTTAAACGCGTGATGTTGATTCTAAATGTGGAGGGGAAAAACCGGAGGACCCGGAGAAAAATCCACGCGACCACGACGAGTATATGCAAGCTTCAAATATACACGGGATCGAACCCACGACCTCCTGTGTACCAGGCGAGGTAGTTAACATCTCGCCACCGCGGCGCCCCTAATATGGTGGGACTCCCGGACCGTCGCGGCATCGCGTCGGATGCTGGCTGCGGCGATGTTCGCCAGCGCGTGAAGGCCACGGGTGCGGAGTGAGCTTCAGGGTGCCGCTGATGACGCGAAGTGCTGTGTTGATTTCGCTGTCGACGAGGTTTGTGTGGGAGCTGTCAATCCACACTGGGGCATGGTACTCCGTCCGCGGCGGAGTGAGTGGCACAGCGCTTGTGTCGATATCTTTAACGCGCGGGCGTAGCTTCGACGGCCTGGTTCCTGTCGGGTTTTACGAATGATATTTAGTCGTATCTTGATTTGAAGCTTTCGTGACTGCAGGGGATCCACACTCGTTGGTTCTTTCGGTAAAGTCACGTGGGTAGAAAATAAATAGAAAAACGACGTTTCGATCGCAACACAAGCGACCGTCTTCAGGTGAGAGAGAAAAGGCGGCCGCTTGTGTTACGATCGCAACGTCGCGACCTATTCACCTTTCTATCCACGTGACTTCACCGTGTAGAAGCAAGGAGTATGATATTTCGTCGTGTTTTTGTTTTATTGATGGCTTGGTTGAGGTGGCGGCGGTCGAGAGTAACTCCTAGGTACAAGACGTCTGGTTAGCATGGAAGAGTAGACCAATATCTTCTATAGGGGATCTCTATAGAGCACCTTCTAGTAAGAGGTCTTTGCACCCATCAGTGGCATGAGAATAGGGGCCGTCCATAAATGACGTCACGCACCTGGGGGGGGGTGGGGTCAGACATTTGTGACGATGTGTGAAGAGGGGGGGAGGGGGGTTTGAAAAATGTGACGTCACATCAAAATGCGCAACTCTAAATAAATATAGACAACACGTTCTACTTAATTAAATAGACTTTTTAATAAATGTTTTCTCCTACAACATCAGAGTGCAGCGGCACATTAAACACGCACTGCAATGACAATAGTTTAAAGCGATTTGAAGCATGTTTTATATATATTTTGGGGGGGGGGGGGGGGGAGAGCTTTGTGACGTCATATTTGAGGTGGGGGTCTGACTTTTTGTGACGTCGTGTGACGAAGGGGGGGGGGGGTAAAAAATCGTCCAAAATCGCGTGACGTCATTTAAGGACGGCCCCATAGACGTTTGATTTAATCTGGAAGAATCCTACGAACTATGGAGCACGTTTTCACAAGCGTGCAGCCTCAAAATTGATCTCAGCAATGGTGAAACACTCCAGAGGCAGTTACGTTAGCATACAATTATATGTAAACGTCGAAGAAACCAACGGAATAATACATTTTATATCTTAGCAATAGAGCGTGCAATTGCAGGGCTGCATCTCTATTATTCAGAGCAAGTAAGACTTCGGGCCTATCTTTTACAAGCTT